TTTGAGGAGTAAGGTGTGCCTTATCCAAGCCGTCGTTTTTCCCATTGCCTCACATGTATGTGAAAGTTGAACAATGGATAAGAGAGAGCGTAGAAGAATGTCAATTTGAATTATGGTGTTAGAAAAGAATATTGAAAATACCGCCGCTGCCAGACAAGCAAATCTGTCTGGGAAGAATTACGGCCAGAACACTCCTTAGAAACGAGGATGGCACAGTTTTATCTCACGTGGTTGGCACACACCATCAAGAGAGAACAGGCCCTGGGACTGGGCCAGTTTAGGAGATAGTCGACAAAGAAGACCCCCATGGCTTCGAGAATGGATCCCAACAGACTGGCTGTGGTATCAATGGTACCACCCTGCGGATGTGATTGAGCTATGGAACGCTATGATACCGCCAAGAGCTCCCAATAAGATGATTTTAGAAGGAAGAAGAAGACCGGGCTCCCGAGGAAGGACAGTGGTGAGGACAGTGCAGGGCCAGGCAGCGTGTCTTTCTGTTGGGCAGAGGGTCGCCATGACAATGACGTGGAGCCAACTCATTGACATCTAGCGACAGCGGACCTTTCTCTCATTGCCCTTCGTTACACGCTTCCACAGAGGAGACCGTGAGAGGCAACATTATCAAGGGGAAAGCATCCCCCCCACTTGTATTCTAACGATTTCAGAGTGAGTCTGCAAACACCAAAGGGAACACTTTAAAGTAAAATGTGAGCAAGTCACGAGAAAAAGATTCAAATGATGTAGTTGTGCAGAACCTAACTATATACCTGATGTTGTATTCATCTCACACAAATGTGAAAATACAATTTAACTTTGATCCTAATGACTGCCTGGATGACTGCCTTGGGAAATTTCCGGAACCCATTGAAGAAAACCTGTGTTGATTACTGATGTCTGCCATGAGGACAATGCTGATGGCAGCGAGCTATTTGTTGTCTGACGAGATCATGGTGTCCATGATATCAAGGAAGGAAATTCCACCTGTGGAACTGGCCATGCCCATGACTGGATTAAGGTGCCTCATTCCTGATATATAATAAACACTTAATGACAAGTTTTTTTAGTGGAAAATCCTGAAGACCATACTTCAAGAGACACTGACAAATTGCATCATTTGTAGATGGACAGAGCCAAATTAGTACACAAAAAATGATTAAGGAAGTTAAGAATCTATGATGATGATGAGGGTGATTACATTGTAGCTATGCTCAATAATTCAAAGGTGGGGGGGGCGGCTAATCCTAGTATCACAAAACTCCCTGCTACTGAGTAGATGCTGACTCCTCGCCACCCTACAGGACCGAGATGAACTGCCCCCGTGTGTGCCCCAGACTGTACATCTCATCGTTCTCCCGTGGAGCGCCCGGGGGTTTCAAACTGCCGGACACTGTATAAGTAAGCCCGAAGAAGAATTGATGCATTTGAATTCTGGTGTCAAAACAGAATGTTGACTATACCAGGGACTGCCAGAAATACAAATCTATCCAGAACATTCCCTGGAAATGATGCTAGTGAAAGAGAACGTCACGCTTGGTCAAGTAGAGGCTGCAGGAGAAAGAGAACGCTTTCACAGGATGATCTTAAGCTGTGGTGGCATCAAGGGGCTCAAGTGAAACAAACACACACACACAAGGGTGGGGACAGTGCAGTTTCCTTCTGTGGTGCACAGGGTCACTATGGGTCAGGGCTGACTGGATGGCACCTAAGAGCAGCAACAACATTGTGTTCACTGCATCCCACAAATAATAAGTTATATTTGAATTGTCATTCAGTTTAGAATATTTCTTAGTTTCCCTTGAGACCTTTTTTTAAAAGAAATATGGATCACATCTTGCGTGATTTTTATTGTGTTAGGTTTGTTGCAGTGAGCATGTAGTTGAGATTGCGATTTACTGGGGGGAGTGTTCTATCGGAGCTTGAGAAGAACGTAGGCTCTGCGGTTGGGGGGGGGGGGGATTGTACTCTTGTCTTTTCCATTCAGCTACATCCTGACTGAGTTTCTGCCTGCTGGGTCTGCTCGTAGCTGATAAAGAAGTGTTGGCATCCCCACTCTCACAGTGGAGTTCTTTGTTTCCCCTACCGTCCTGTTTTACATCGTGTAGTGTGATGCTCTGCGGTTAGCTGCATACACATGAAGGACTGTTACGCTTCTTGATTATGATGCCATCTCCCCTCGTTACCCCTAATAATTTTCCTTCCTCTGAAGTCCGTGTAAGATTAATGTAGCTACTTTAGATTTCTTTTCATTACCGTTCAAAGAGTTTTCTCTATTCTCCACCCTTTTTTTCCCTTGTCCACTTGTGGTGAGAATATATATAACGAAGCATCTGCAGAGTTTTTACATGTATAATTCATTGACATTGATTGCATTCTTTATGTTGCATAGCCATTATTGCTGTCCTTTCCCACATTATTCCAACCACCATTAACACAAGCCCAGTGCCTGCTAAGCAAAAATCCACCCCCACACCCACTTATAATCCTTGGTTTCTGTGTATGTGCTTCTTTTCTGCCATTGAGATCATAGAGTATTTATGCAGCATAATGTCTTAGTATATATCAGGACTTCATTTATTTTTTTGGCCAAGTAATGTTTCATTAGATGTACGTGTCACATATTGTTGATCGATCGATGGCATTTGGATTGTTGCCCCCCTCCCCTGCCTGGCCCCACTGTGAAAAGTACAACAATAAGTTCTGCTACTTCATATTTCTTCTTCAAGGTTGCTTTAGCTAGTGTTAAATGCAAAGGACCAAAGTAAAAAAACTGTCCATATTGGGGCTAACACTTGCAACATACATTTTTTTGGGAAGGGGGACACAATCGCATCTGGTGACGTTTCCATAAAGATTAACCAAAACCCCCCTCATTGTCATCGAGTCAATTCTGACTCACAGGCACCCTGTAATTCAGGGCAGTACTGGCCCTGTGAGTTTCTGGATTGCAACTCCCTACGTAAGTAAAAAGCCTCATCTTTCTCCTGTGGAGCAGCTGGTGGTTTTGAACTGTGGACCTTGCAGTTAGCAGCCCTAAAGATGGCAGCCTATAAAACTCTCTGGTACATATCTCCTGGGCAGTACCTAACAACAAGCCTTGGAATGACATCTGTCCAACGGTACTAGTACGTTTCTTCACTGCATGCTTTATGGATGAGATGAGATGACAAGACGCAGGATGATGTAGTATAGAGGCAATAGCTTAAAAGAAGGGGAAAAAGCAGATTTCTCCCTCTCCTCTCACCTGTTAACTTTTGGCCCTTAAACAACAGAGCGAGTCTTTCATCATGTCGTTCTAAATATAGTTTTAAAAACACTTACTTTCCTCCGATTGCCTTGGCATGTCTACAATTCGAAGGCTTGGCTTTCCGGGCACTATTCGCACAGGTTTTTGCTGTTCTCTTAATCCATTGCTTAGCAGTGCTTGTTCCCTCCGCCTTCTGAAACGCTGCTGCTGCCGCAGCTGAAACCTGATAACATTTGAAACATGTATCTACTTGCATTGCCACCCCCCTCTTCTGCCAGAAGCGTACTGTGAACTCAGAAATTTGTATTTCAAAGGCTATGATTCTTTTAAAAATGCGTTTTCTTGTTCAGTCTCTTGCCTGGCTATGCCACCAATCCTTTCCCTAAGATCTGCTGCTAAAGTCTTCCCGTTCCGGCCTTCTGTGCCTGAGGAGATGGCCACAGCCCCAGGTTCAGATGGTTTCCTCCCAACCGCTTCTTCCTCGGAGTCACATTACATCAGCATCACTAATGTGTTCTGTGTGATACTCCAGACTCTTATTCACATCAGTCCATTGAAAACGAACCTCCTGGTTTGTTTGAACATGGAGGATGGATGGGCTAAGGTCAAATGCAGACCGGGGCGAGATCTAGGGGACATGTACGAATATTTATAGTCGTATTAAATATGTACCTGTTGAATCTGTGCCTTTTCTCAATGCTTCAAGAGGACCATAGCTTCCGGGTGATGGAGATGATAGGAAGGGAGGGAGGGGGTACCTAGAAACTTCGCAACAAAAGGGGGTGCTCAATATACTCAAAGAACACCCACAACACCACCTTCCTCCACCACCAGATTATCTCACCAGCTAGTGAGACTGCAAGGTTTGGGGGCTCGGTCGTACCACTTGGCGCAGCGCATGGGGGGGTCGTGCCTATTCGGCTGCGCCTGGCCATTCCCCCTGGCTTGGTTTTGCCCCTGCTCCCCCTGCGCAGGCCCCACAGTGCGTCAGGCCGGCGCTTTATAGCGGCTGCCTGGGCGGCTCCGCTCCCTGTTTTTCCTCCGGTCGGTGCCCTTCCTCCCGCTGCCCGCCGAAATGCAGCTCAAGCCGATGGAGATTAACCCCGAGGTGAGTGTCCGGTGGCCCGTGGCTCGGGGACCACGAGTGCGGGGACCGCCCTCGCCAGGGAGCTGTATCGCGGACCCCCTTTTGTTCTCTTACTGTCTCCCTTTGTATTTGCCTCTCAGATGCTGAACAAAGTGAGTGGCGTCTCGCGCCGTCCGCCCGGGGCCCCTGGAACTCCGAGGCGGAGGCGCCCCCCGGGAGGAGCCCCGCCCTGCGCGTTCCCGAGGCCCCCCGAATTTGGGTGGTGACTGGGCTAAAGCTGTAGGGGGCAGGGATGGAAGGGGCTGCGCCCCGTGGCCCGCGTTCCGGAGGG